AAAACCAGATAATTTGAAAGGTGTCTTCGTAGAAATTGTAGAACTAGGAGGAACTGTTGCAGGTACTGTGAACCTCAAATTAAATGGAATAAGTATGAGCAAGCTAAAAAACAGCTTTAAAACTTGGGCATGACGTTTTCTTTTCCATTGTCACCTGAAAATATGACTAAAAAGTATTTGTCAATTATACGTTGCACAATACGTAGGAGTACTTTATCGCAAAACTGCTGCTCCAGAAGTGCCTACGGCAATTTTCAAGTAAAACAGAATATAAGCTTAATACCTTCATAAATTCGACAAAATGCGCTTGTTTGCGCTTGCGACGTAGTGATGGGACGATATGTGTGAGAACAAAAATTGCGAAAAATTAGGATTGGATGTAATAAATTTTTTATTTATTTTTTTAAGTCGTGAATTGATAAAGTAATTGATTAGTCGAGCTTAAATAGAGGAAACTTATAAAATTTTCTTCTGGCGGTGCAGCAGCAGTACAGCGAAAGTGAGTGCAATCTCGGTTAGGAAATGCTTGTTAAGAAAGAATGAATAATTTGGTTTTTGGTGGTGGTGTGGCGGGAGTGAAGGAGACTTTATTACTTAAGGGCATAAGCTGTAGTGGCGTTCTTGTAATTCCGTTTTCTGCAAGCATTGTGAGCAGCAAGGGATATCTTCTTTTCTGGGAAGACAATAGGTGACAACTGCTGTCACCGCTCAAAATTCTACCAAAAATCTGATGGAGGGGAATGGACACCCCACGAGGTATAATATAATGTTCATATATGTTTTCTGCACTGGGTGTTATTTGCTATAAATGCTTTCCTATCTTATCGACAATTTCCATGGCTTTTTCACACATTCAGCATAATAGCACATAGCACTAGCTATTAACGCTCTACCTGTAAGTCGCGAAACAAACAATATTCACAATACTGGACTCTTTTCATTTTTTGACTCCCACTAGAGCCAGCCCATAAAGACGACCTCTTACTGTGTCGCAAGACAGTAACGCGCAATCCTTTTTCGCACGGCCTATATGAATAACCCGATTCTGCTCACAAAGGGATCCTCTAAAGTGTTGATTTTTCAAAAATTCGTGGAGCTATGGGTTGAAAGATTTGCATCTTCAAGAACCAGCTTTCCATCTACAAAGGAAGGGATAATCTCGCATGTTGGCGGGAAAAACTTCTCGATTTCTCTATTTGTATCCAACAGCGCATCGCATTGTCTTCGCACATATACGCGGATATGTGCGCGGCGATAAGCCATTAGCTACATTGTGAAATGCAGAAAGACAGCCCACCACTATCAGATCCAGTATTCCAGGTGTGTGTGTGTGTGCTGTGTTCGCCAACATCACTGTCGAAGACCTATCGTACTGTCTGCGTCTGCAGATCGTTACACTTTTATCTGGCCCTTCAATTCACAGTGCACGCGATCAACATCAATCGCCGGACGGCTTTGCGATCATATACAGCGTGTTTGCCAACGTGTCTCCCTCGA